TTCCTGATTAGTTGCCCCGCATCATTCCACATGGTGGTGTTCCTATCCCATCAGAAATCTTCGGTGCTCTGAAAAAATCAGGAGATTTTTATGATAGGCCCATTCTGCTTTATTTAAAATGTCCTAGAAGTTAAGATTCAGTACAAAGGGTGGTTTCAGGTAAGCATGCTGCAATTCGTCTTGCCTCTGACAGACCTCTTCATTGGAAAAGACTGAGCTTCATCTCCTTTCTACCATAAACTGGGGGTGGATTAGTGACTCTGGTCTACTAACTACCTTACCTGGAGAGGAGCCATGAGACTTTGTTCATAAGAGATGATGGTGTGTCATCATGTCCAATATCAAACTTGACTAACTGATTCTCAGCCTGATGAGTGGCTTCAAAGACCAGAGTGACATTTTTGCTATGAGACACATTTTGGTGATGACAATTCAGTCAAGTTCCATATTTCAAATTTCCCTTTTTTTAATGGAGGAGGGAGGATGGCAGATTGTTGGGAAATGGATCTCTCATCTAAGCTTGTCTGAGTAAACTAGACAAGGTAAAAATGTTCTCAGGGATAAGATGCTAGAGTTAGTATTTATTTTCATAAAGGCTTTTGCCCAAAACTATTCAACATTTTTCTGAAGTAATATTTTTTCTCACTATACACTAGAATACATTTCTTTGAGAATTGCCATCCCCCAAGAGGAAATGGGGAAAAGCATTTCTGCATTATTTCTATGTGAACATTTCAGATAAGAAAAAATTTCTTTGTATTTTGTTTATGTGTCCCATGAGTTCATTTTCTTCAGTATGTGTATAACTTTGCAAACCCTATTATTTTAAAAAGTTTGTGAGTTTTTAAACGCAGCCACAAATATTTTTCTTGCAATTTTGTACAAACACTGTTTTCTTTCTAGTCTGAGACATTTTAATTAAGCCATTACATTTTAATTTCCTAAAAATATCCCCCATCAAAACAAACAGAATCATTGTGGCCATTTCTCAAGGCTACGAGCAGTTTGGTAGCCAAAAATTATTGGTACATTTTTTTAGTTATCTGAAGTTTAAAGCTGGGTTTTTTCCTTAAAAATATTTCTGAAATGCCTGGATTGGAGATTTATTTTTTTCTAGTACTTAATTGTCACACTTATAATTCATTGCCACATATAAATAGCTTCAGTAGGTTTGGGGCTATAGGGTGAGACTCCTCAGGCTTGCGAGGACCCCTGAAAGGATAAAGTGTCTAAGCTCTTAAAAGCTTTTACCTAGTTTTGGGAAATGGGTTGAGAATGGGGGAATTGGGCAGGGGCTGGCAGGGGTGTGAATCTGAGTGTCCGACTTCTGCTGCTGAGACAGGTAAGGCAGGGAAGGTCGGCTCAGCAGCTAAAATGCAAAACCCAAAATACCGCCCCAGCCGGGGGCGCCCGGGAAGGGGGGAGCTGCGCCTCGGGCCCCAGCGCTAGCAGCCCGATGCAGTGAGTTTGAGGAGTTAAAAGTTGCAATGGTTTTGTAAGTAGTTTCTCCAGGTAAATGCTTTTATTTCCTTATTACATATTAGCTGAACTTGCCCTACCCTTCCTTTAGCAAGTTGCTTCAGAATATTTCCCTTCCCTAAAAAATAACCTAGAGATTTGCAACTGGGTGATAGTGACAAGGGCAGTATAGAAGGATAAAGTGGGTTGGGTCTCTTAAGGGAGGGCACCAGCCAGTTCCTGTAGAGGATTCTTACGCTAATTCTTTGGTGCATATTTTTTCCAGTCAAACCTTCCACTACCTCTGTAACTAGAAGAAAAATCTATTTCCCTTTTCACTTCCCTTTTTCCTTGAGCTATTGTTCAGTTTAACCACAGAAGTTCTTGCTTTGAGTAAGTGATTTGGCCTAGGTTTTTTGGGACTGGCTGGTTGGGGATA